AAGAACATAATTTGAAAGACTCCTTTGAAAAGTGTGACAACGTTGAAACCATAGAAGTTATGGACCAGGCGCCGTGGCTCACGCCTGTAATTTCAGCATTTTGGGAGGCTGAGGTGGGCAGATGACTTGAGCTCAGGAGTTTGAGACCAGCCTGACCAACATGGTGAAACCCCGTCTCTACTACAAATACAAAAATTAGCTGGGCATGATGGCACATGCCTGTAATCCCAACTACTTGGGAGGTTGAGGCAGGAGAATTGCTTGAACCCAGGAGGTGGAGGTTGCAGTGAGCCAACATCATGCCACTGTACTCCAGCCTGGGTGACAGAGTGAGACTCCATCTCTAAATAAACAAACAAATAAATAAATAAGTTATGGAAGCCAGGCAGAGTGGAAAAAAGAGAGAATTTGCTCTTGTAACTTTTGATGATCATGAAACAACTGATGAAATTCTTGTTCAGATATACCATGCCATTAATAAGCATAATAGTGAAGTAAACAGGGTCCTTTCTAAATGACATGGAGTCGGCCGGGCATGGTGGCTCACGCCTGTAATCCAAGCACTTTAGAGGCCAAAGTGGGCAGATCACCTGAGGTCGGGAGTTCAAGACCAGCCTGACCAACATGGTGAAACCCCATCTTTATTAACAACAAAAAAATCCTAAATGACATGGAGTCTTCTGGGTCATAAAGAGGCATGGAAGTGGATCTGGCAACGTGGCTGGTCATGGAGGAAACTTTGGAGGTGGTGATCATTTTGGCTGTGATGGAAACTTTTGTGGAAAGGAGGCTATGGCGGTGAAGGTGATGGCAGCAGAGGTAGTTACGCAGGAGGCGATGGTGGATAGAATGGATTTGGAGGTGATGGTAGCAACTACAGGTGGTGATGCTGGTCACAACAGTAGAGGGGGCATGGTGGTGGTGGACCAGGATGTGGAAACCAAGGTAGTGGATATGGTGGCAGTGGTGGATGATATGACGGTTACAATGAAGGAGGAAATGGTAGTGGTAGGAACTGTAATGATCTTGGAAACAGCGATCAAATTATGAACCCATGAAAGGGGGCAGTTTTGGTGGAAGCAGCTCAGGCAGTCCCTATGGTGATGGTTATGGATCTGGTGATGGAAATGGTGGATATGGCAACAGAAGTTTCTATAAAAAGCAGAAAAGGAGGCTGGGCATGGTGGCTCATGCCTATAATCCCAGCACTTTGGGAAGCCGAGGTGAGTGGATCCCCTGAGGTCAGGAGTTTGAGACTAGACTTGCCAACACGGTGAAACCCCATCTCTACTAAAAATACAAAAATTAGCTGGGCATTGTGGCAGATGCCTGTAATCCTAGCTACTTGGGAGGCTGAGGCGCAAGAATCGCTTGAACCCAGGAAGCAGAGTTTGCAGTGAGCCGAGATCGCGCCACTGCATTCCAGCCTGCGGGATAGAGCAAGACTATCTCCAAAAAAATAAAAACAGCAGAAAAGGGATACAGTTCTTAGCAGGAGAAAGAACGAGAAGTTTCGGGAAAGCAGCATGTTACCTTGAAACAGTCGTCCCAAATGCATTAGAGGAACTATAAAAATCTGCCACAGAAGGAACACTGATCCATAGTTAGAAAAGTGACTGCAGCTTAAACAGAAAACCCTTCTTGTTCAGGACTGTTACAACCACAGTTTACAAAAAGTGCAGCTTTGGTAATGCAATGTAGCATTGGCTAGATGCACATCCCTATGGCCTTTCATCTGCTGTAGCTTTTTCTTTTTCTTTTCATTACATCAGGTATATTGCCCGATAAATTGTGGCACTGATATCAAGAATAAAAAATTAAGGAATTTTTAACTTTTCAGTATGTATATAGTTCAGTTTTTCTACATTTTTGTACAGACACTTTAACAAAATAGTTTTGAAGGTGTTTCCTTGCGAGTTAATAAAGAAGACCATTGTCAATTACTGTTTTGCATAAGTTTGTTAACATTAACTGTAAAGAAACACCTGCTGACTTGCAGTTTAAGGGAATTCTAATCTCCCCATTTCCAAACCATGATCTGAATGGGTGCCGACAAGTGGAGAGAATAGATATTTGTATGTTTGCAAAGTCTGTTTTAGATAAATAGGATTGGGTGTTTAAATAAGCATATTTGTGATTTAAGTATATTGTGATTTTCATTTATCTTCAAATGAAAAAAATCTCAAATTTCGAAAACAAAATAAAAGAAGCAAAACTCCCTTAAGCTGAGGGTCCACTCACCAAGGAGGGCACGGGCCTCATTATAAACCAGCTGGTATCTCTGTTCCAAGGCCTAAGAAAATCATGCCTGAAGCTCTTTTCCACTGGGAAGAAAAACAAACCTGCTACCATGTTCTTTTTGCTTGACTTCTCTTGCAAGATTAGCATAACAGCTAAGGGCCGTAGCTAGCCAAGGCAGCTTCCCCAGGCTTCAGAAACCAAGCAGCCAACCTCACCTTCATAGGCGTGAGTAGAACTCAAGATCATGCTCCCGAGCAGGGCAAAGTAAATGAGACTGAGTGGCTCTCACCTGGAAGATTTGAGCTGTGGTTAGAGAAACTCGCACAGAGTTCCACCGTGAGCAACTACCTCTTCTAGCAAACAAGAGAAAAACTGTGATGTAGTCTAATCTTGCAGGTTGTCAGGAATTATCTCGATCCTGGGTGCAGGAAAAGCAAAGCATTTCTCAGTGTTGGCTGCACCTTCTATATGAGAATTCCCTGGGGTACTTGTCATAAACTCCAAGCCAGGGGTGGGTACAGTGGCTCCCCTCTGTAATCCCAGCACTTTGGGAGGCTGAGCATTGTTTGAACCCAGGAGTCTGAGGCTGCCGTAACCTATGATTGTGTCACTGCACTCTAGCTGGGGCGACAGAGCAAGATCCTACCTCTAAAAAATAAAATAATAATAATAAACTCCAGCCCTGCCCAGGCTTATTGTATCAGAATCTCAGGCAGTGTCGGGTCTGAGCATTGCACTTTTTGTATGTGGTGCTGGTGATGCTACACTCATACCAGTATAGAAAAACTTCTGCCCTGGAAATTAAATAAACCCAGAATGAACATACTCCTCTAGGCTGAGCCCATGCAGTAGTAGAGACGATGAAAGTCAGGGAGGGAGCTGGGGCCGAGGGATGAGGAAGGGAAGGAGGTCAGTGTCTTTGCAGAGAACAAGGAATTGATACCATATGTTTGTGAAGCACTTTGAATTTCACTTTCCAAATAAAATTAAAATCACAGCAGCTGTTTGTCTATGATTTGTGCAACTTTTCTAGGATGCTATTCTCCAGTTAAAAGTTTCCTTAAAAAAATAAAACAAATTAGGAGTTAAATCAAGGTCACGAGGCCCCTCACTGGAGCCTCGTGTTTCTTGTACTTGCAGCTTCTTAGAGGACTCCCACCACCCCCGTGCCCTCCTTCTTGCCTGCAGCGCCTCCCTCCTTTCTAAAACATTAAGGCCTTTATACCCAATCCAACCAAAACAAAAGGATCATTCCCATCTGTTGCAACACAGGATCTGAGAGAGGAACATTTAAAACACCCCGTGAATGAACGTAGTATACAGATTCCAAGATTTCTTAGGGTCTTGTAACTCCTCCTTCAAGCCCACTCACCCCTAAGACAGACATCTTTCCTAGGAGAATGACATTTTCTGGTGGGCTTCTATGGTCACCACACGTGCCTAGCCCTGTATGACCAAGGCCAGGAGGTCACTTGGCCATTTGGAAGCCAAAGACACGGCCCTGCTTGTAGTTTTACTCATCTCTGCATACGTTCTTCAATGAATTATTCTTCCTTTGGGACATACTTCCTGAGTGAGCTATGCACAGACCCCCTGGTTTTCACCAACCCCAAGACCCCAGCTGGGGCTTGTGTTCATTCCCACGTTGTGCTTCTACCTATCTTACTGAAGACACATGGATTTGGGGTTAATTAGAAGACTGTTTGATGCTTTACGCTGACTTCTATCTGCTTTTGCAAACTTGAATCATTCTGACTCAAGGTATTAGGTTTTTGGTCAATAATCCTTTTATTTATTGAAGCCAAAGGTATACTGTGAAGGCCAAAATAATAAAACACTTTGATTTTATCTCCTCCTCTGTAAAATGAGCAGTAGAAACTGTTAAGATTGCTTAAAAATCCTTCCAACACTGAACTTATAAATGACAATAGTAGGCTGAGCACGGTGGCTCATGCTATAATCCCAGCACTTTGGGAGACCGAGGCAGTCAGATTGCTTGAGGCCAGGAGTTCAAGACCAGCCTGAGCAACATGGTGAAAGCCCGCCTCTACTAAAAACACAAAAATTAGCCAGACATGGTGGTGCACACCGGTAGTCCCAGCTACTCAGGAGGCTGAGGCAGGAGAATCACTTGAGCCCGGGAAGCAGAAGTTGCAGTGGGCAAAGGCTGCAGTGAGCTGAGATGGTGCCACTGCACTCCAGCTTGGGCAACAGAGCAAGACCCTTTCTCAAAATAAAAATAAAAATAAAAAATCGTCCTCATTTTAGAAAAGAAGAAACTGGGGCTTAAAGTAATGTAAACAATTAACTCAAAGTCAAATAGTAGTAGCAGAGCAGATGTCAGGACTCGGAAAGCCATCCTTTCAGTCACTGAGCTATAAGCCCATGTTCAGCTCCCAGGCAATGTCCTGTGTGCTGAACGAGGGAGGACAGACCATAGACATTTCAGGCCAAAGCATCAGTATCTTCCCTGAGTCCCTGCCATCCTACAGCTCTTTGCTGACAGTATAATGATCTATAAGCCATCTATTGATCGATTAACATAGTTTGTGAAAAGCAAACAAAATCAGCTTCCTGGTCAACATTGCCCACTTCAGTTTTACAAAGAGAACATTACCAGATAGCTACTACCCCCTAGAGGTGGCAATCCCTCTGATACCGGTGACCACAGTGACATTCCAGAAAGGTTTTGGGAATCCAAATGCACCCAGGACACCACCCGTTGCCTCTGGCCTGCCCCGGCCAGCAGTGTCCCTTACCTGCGGCTCCTGCGGGCGGCTGCCACGTGACGAGCTGGAGCCGGTTCCTGACTCGGGAGGGCTGATTTCCCGGGTAGTAGCCAAATGTGATGACTCGGCTAAATTTTCCCAGCTCTGAATTCCTAACATTCAAGAAGGGAAATTAGGAGGTGGCACAGGGTCTGTTCAGGATAACGGGTCAGCACAGGGTGTTGGGCAGTGAGTAACAAATAAGAGAAGAAAGTCAAAGTTTATAGAGTATTGGGGCGGAGGAGGGAATTGTTCTGGAATGAAACCGACAAGGATATTGCAGGCTGGCACAAGTATCACTTGCGACCCTGGCTTCCCCACGCCGTACTGAGGTGTTTTTCCTTCTCCTTGCTGTGATTTCCTCTCATTCTTCCCTCGTGTCAGCCTGACCGATACTTTCTGCAGAAAGGACAGTAATTCTGGGGACCTTCCTTCTGCACCAAACAAAATGGCTCTGCCAAGGCCTGTTCCCCGTGCGGCCGCTGGATGGCGGCATGACTCAATGGACGGGTTACAGGCGGCCTCTGCCCAGCGCCGCCGCCGTGGCCGCCTCCTTTATATAATCCTGTTAGAGTGCATTTAATCTAAGGATGGGACACTGTGTTCCATGCCAGGCAGCCTCATCGTGACTGACTGTTGCACCAACAACTAGCTCTTTAACCGTTAACGTCCCTTCCTGCCCAACAAACACCATATGTCCTGAAAAAAGCGATTTAAGCTCTCAATAATTTATATGATTTATTGGTAAAAAGCAAAGCAAAATTAAAACCCCCTGGTTTTAATCACAGCACCTGCAGAATTCAGGAGCCTCCCTCCCTCATCATCCTTCCTTCCCCGGACTCTCTAACTATGTGCTTAAGTCTATTTATCAATAATTAGTTATCGTCTGGATCTACACTGGGTCATGCAGAAAATAGGTCCTAAAACCAGAAAAGAACAATTATATTTTCAAAGATCAAGGAGCGTATTGCTATACTAATAGATAACATTCAATGAAAACTTGTACGTGCCAAATGTTGGGATAAATATTACAAAGACTATCATGTTCAATTTTTACATCAAACCAAAGGTTAATACTCCTGCTATAGCTTCCACTTTAAGGCTGGAGAAACTGAGGCACAGGGAGATTACCTCAACAAAGGTTAATTCGTGGCAGAGTTAAAATTCAGGCCCAGGCAGGCTAATGGGAGAACTTGGACTCAGCCATGAGGCAGCGGACTGGTCTAGAAAACCCAGTTAGGAGATAAGCAGAAAAATATAAACCAGAGAACTATGTCAGCGTGGAAGATGAAAGAAAAAAGGTAGAAAGAAAGAAAATCAATGCTGCTGAGAAAATAAGAAGAATGGGGCTAAAACACCACCCTCTCCAGATTAAGTTACAAGGGCACCGCTGTGACATTTGAGGACACAATTTCAATAGAGTGACAGAGATAGGAAGCTAGACTGCAGAACTAAGGGGTTATGAGGAAAGAGGACATTGAGATGTCTTGTTGCAAAAGGAAAGCAATAAATAGACTAGAAGAGACGCAAGGTCAAGCAAAAGCATTTTGGTTTTCTTGTGTGTTTTTTTAAATGGAATAAAGCCTGGCCTTGTTTGAAAGTGGTTGCAAGGGAGATGTGGGTGATGCTAAGTAGTGGTGGTGTAATAGGAAGAGGTAGAGGGGGGCGTCAAGGGCGCAAGATAAAGGGTTAGCTCTGGAGGAGGAAGAAAGGTAGCTGCCTCTGTCTGCAACTGGGGGACAGCTGCAGAGATGAAGATACATCAACACAAAACTGAGAGAAATGAGTGAGTTCAAGTTCTTCCAAGTCAGCTTTAATCTTTTCAGTAAAACCAGAGTTAGGTTATCTGCTAAGAGAGAGAATGAGGTTATACTACGGCCATAATCTATATACTAAACTAATCCATGTAGTGCTTAGAATGACCAAAAAAGTGGTAAGATTATCTAAAGAACAAAAGAGACTGGAGAAGTCCGAAGTATGATTGTAAAGATTCTCTGCAAAATATCCTTTGTGAATCAGAACTGAAATTTACACCTCCTTCTCCCCGCGAACAGAAATATAACAGGTACACTATTAATGACCCCTTATGTCTTTTTTTTTTTTTTTTTTTTTTTTGAGACAGAGTTTTGCTCTTGTTATCCAGGCTGGAGTGCCATGGCGCGATCTCGGCTCACCGCAACCTCCGCCTCCTGGGCTTCAGGCAATTCTCCTGCCTCAGCCTCCTGAGTAGCTGGGATTACAGGCACGCACCATCATGCCCAGCTAATGTTTTGTATTTTTAGTAGAGACGGGGTTTCACTATGTTGACCAGGATGGTCTCGATCTCTTGACCTCGTGATCCACCCGCCTCGGCCTCCCAAAGTGCTGGGATTACAGGCTTGAGCCACCACGCCTGGTGCGACCTCTTATGTCTTAAAGTTTCCTTGTATTCAAGTTGTAAGTCATTTCACAGAGAAATAGTATCATCTCTATTGCTAAATAGGAGAACTAATGTGCAGAGAAATTTTCCTGTTTGGCTTAAAACTACAAAGAAAATCAGGGCCAGAACTGGAATTGATATTTAGGAGCCTTTCTGATGCTTGCACTGGGCTGACTTGAGCTCTGCTAAACATAAAGGGCGTGGACACAGCTAACTGCCCCGAGAGAATCCCAGATACAGCACAAACTTGAGAAGGATCAAAATCAAGGCATGATGCCCACAAGAGTCTAAGATTCTCCTTATGTGACCTTGGGTCACAGTACATTTCTTCGGAAATTAGAGGGCAAGTTTGATAACTTGATTGCAACATATTTGTATACTGATAACACGATGTCTTTAAAAGAACACACCATAATTATTTAATGTAAGGGTTTAATGACTCTATTTTCATTCTCAATTAACATTTCCTTATTGCCAGAAGTACATGGCTCACACAACTGGAAAAAGCAGACAGGGTAATTATTTAGCCTGCATTACTGATGTAAAGGGCAACAGGCAAAGCGAGAGCAATCCACAGTTCACCCTCCTATAGACGGGAGATGAGGACCAAAGACAGTCGCCAATCAAAACGGTTTGTCCTCGGTTTCAGGAAGTCCAGACGCACTTCCGTGTGTGTGTGCATGCACATTGTGTAATCAGGAAATTTATCTTTTTTCTTTTCTTTTCTTTTTTGAGACAGAGTCTCACTCTGTCACCCAGGCTGGAGTACAGTGAAGGCATCTTGGCTCACTGCAACCTCCGCCTCCAAAGTTCAAGTAATTTTCGTGCCTCAGCCTACCGAGTAGCTGGGACTACAGGCGCACGCAGCCACGCCCAGCTAATTCTGGTATTTTCGATAGAGACAGAGTTTCACCATGTTGGCCAAGCTGGTCTCCAACTCCTGACCTCGGGTGATCTGCCCGCCTCGGCATCCCAGAGTGCTGGGATTACAGTTGTCAGCCACCATGCCTCGCCAGGAAATGTATCTTAAAGAGAGGGATTTGAGTTTCCTGCCTGTCATCTTCTTTCAGGAAATACCTCCCCCCACCCCGCTCCCAGGGTAAGCTAAACCCTCTCTTGATTTTCACGTCTAAAAAGAAGTAAAATCAGCCACCTCCTTAGCCCCAGGTTGGGATGACCAGCTTCTCATTCATTCCTTCTTTCTTCTAATGTTTACTGAGATCCTGAGTCCACAGAGGCAGAGTGCTTGGCAGGTGGGACCAACACTCAGACTGCGCTCTCAGGCAACCGACCGGTAGAGGACTTGGAACTGGGGCTTTATGTGACCACAGCGCAAGGCAGGAATTGATAAGAGCTAAGGAGAAGCGGTGATAATGAGTCAAAGGGCAGACACCTGGGGAAAACCCTTCGTAGAGGATGGATATCCACTCCTGGGCTTAGCAAAGCCGGGTAGGACAGAGAGACAGATAAGAAATGCATCCCAGGAGGCAGGCCTAGCAAGAACACAGAGGCCATGAAGGCACAGCCAGCTAGCCACCCCGATGAGCCACCTAACCTGGTGCTGACTCCTCCACAATTCACTTGCCGCCACAGCAGACAGCCTTGGGAGGCTCTTCCCAAAGTTCATGCCATATTTGCTTCCCACTCCTCTACCTATGTGTTTTGTTTTTATGGTTTTTGAGTCAGAGTCTCCTCGTTCTACCGCCAGGCTGGAGTGCAGTGGCGTGATCTCGGCTCACTGCAATCTCCGCCTCAAGTGATCCTCCTGCCTCAGCCTCCTGAGTAGCCGGACTGCAGGCATGCGCCACCGTACCCCTTTAATTTTTTTGTATTTTTAGTAAAGACAGGGTTTCACCGTGTTGGCCAGGATGGTTTCGATCTCTTGACCTCATGATCCACCTGCCTCGGCCTCCCAAAGTGCTGGGATTACAGGCTGCCAGCAGTCCACCTATGTGTTTTAATCTAAAAACAAAGACTTTTTTGCTGCTAATCTTTGAATGAAATAGATGCTGCAGGAAGAAGCATTGGGTTTATCCCTCAGCTTCAAATACCCTCCAGCACAGGGAAGCAGGGGCGCCCTGTGGCCCAGGTCTCCTCACGCCCAGATGCAGTTCTGCAAACTCTACAAACAGAAAGCTGTCTCAGCTGTTTCCTCATCCAACCTATCATCTGGCCGTTATGCCTTCCTATTTTCTCTATTTTATTATTTGACAGTTACTATTGATAGCAGAATGCAAGAAAAAATTCAAGCTCTTTCTGTAGCCTCTTGGCTTGGGGTGATCTCTGAAAATGGTTTGCCTATCGCTTGACCCAGGAAACTCCTCAAAATCACGCAGACCAAGGGGTCCAAATCTTCATGTTCCCTTTAAGAACACCCACGTAACTGTGCAGGCTATCAAGGTATGCATATCCAAAAAGCCACCAAGTACCTGAAAGATGTCCCTTTTCAGAGGCTGTGTGTGCCTTTCTGTCACTGGCGAAGGTGGAGCTGGCAGGTGTGCCCAAGCCAAACGCTGGGGCTGGTCACAGGGTTGGTGGCCCAAAAAGAATGTTCAATTTTTGCTGCATGTGCTTAAAAACGCAGAAAGAAGTGCTGAACTAAAGTTTAGATGTAGATTCTTGGATCGTTGAGCACATTCAGTTGAACAAAGCCAAGATGTGTGCCATATTTACAGAGCTCATGGTCAGATTAACCCATATGAGAAGCTCCCCTGCCACATGGAGATGATCCTCACTGAAAAGGAACAAATTGTTTCTAAACCAGAAGAGTTATTTGCATACAAGATAAAGGTATCCCAGGAGAAACTGAAGAAACAACATATGGCCTAGGAATACATTCAGTATAAAATAAATGCAAATAATAGTTTAGCCAGGTACGGTGGCTCACGCTCATAATCCCAACACTTTGAGAGGCTGAGGCGGGAAGATCACTTGAGTCTAGGCGTTTGAGACCACCCTCAGCAACATAGGGAGACCCCCATCTCTATAATTAAAAACAAATTAGCCAGGCAAGTTGGCATGTACCTGTGGTCCCAGCTACTCAGGAGGCTAAGGCAGGAGGATTGGCTGAGCTCAGGAGGTCAAGGCTAAAGTGAGCCATGATCGTGCCAAGGCACTCCAGCCTGGGTGACAGAGGAAGACACCGTCTTTTTAAAAAAAATTTTTAATAAAAAAGGCCAGGTGCAGTGGCTCACACCTGTAATCCCCACACATTGGGAGGTCAAGACGGACAGATCCCGTGCAGTCAGGAGTTTGAGACCAGCCTGGCCAACATGGTGAAACTTCATCTCTACTAAAAATACAAAAATTAGCCAGGCATGGTAGTATATGCCTGTGATCCCAGCTACCCCGGAGGCTGAGGCAGGAGAATCACCTGAAACTGGGAGGCAGAGATCACAGTGAGCCAAGATCATGCTACTGCACTCCAGCCTAGGCAACAAGAGTGAGACTCTGTCTCAAAAAAATAATAATAAGTTAAAAAAATAAGTTCAAGTTTAAATGCCTTTCCTACCCGAGATATTAATTACTCCCACACCATCACCAACACCCCTACTTCCAAAAAGTAATCACGAACTTCTGTAAACATTTTTCAGCTGCACTGGTTAAGTCTACAGCAATCAATCAACTGTGTTGAACTACAATGTCTAACAGAATCAGCTGAATCCTGAAACTGTTCTGTGCTGTCTTACCTGAGCTAGGCAATGAGGAACGCAGCGTGACTAGCTTCTCCCTCTGTGCTCATCCTGATGAAGGGTGAATACGAATAAGCCTAGAAACAACTCTGTCCTTTAAACAAGGTTGCAGCCAACAATAAGCCACATTTTATCCTTGAGGATGAAACACAGGACAGATGAGAGTTTTATCACAAGAGAGAAATACACAATAAGGCCTTTTTAGGCTATCTGCCCCTGACAATTGCTAGTGTTACATTCTGAATCATGCAGTTTTGCAGACTTTTAAGATCCTCACGTTACATTTCCTATTTGTGCAAGGGCCCAGTGAGAAAGCTACAGATGCTTTATCGTGAAAGAGAACAGGATCAGTAAACAGCACCATGAAACGTCAAACCGGTCCTGCAGACAGCACTGCCTATGATCTCTGCTCTTAACATCTCAAAGTGTTCTTATTCTATTTGTCATTTTCTCCTCTCAACCTTGGAAAGGGGGTCATTCTTGCGCTGCTTTGACACATAGGGAAACTGGGGGTAAGAGTGAGTGGGGAACTTGCCAACGTCCCAAAGCTAGTTGATGGGATTGGGATCTAAATGTCTGGCTTCCTCTTGGGCTTTGTCCTGGCAGAGTCATTCTTTTTTTTTTTTTTTTTTTTTTTTTTTTTTCCCTAAAGATGAGGTTTCATCATGATGGCCAGGCTGGTTTTGAACTCCTGACCTCAGGTGATCTGGTGATCCACCCACCTCGGCCTCTCAAAGTGCTAGGATTACAGGTGTGAGCCACCATGCCCAGCTTTCTTTCTTTCTTTCTTTTTTTTTTTTTTTTGAGACGGAGTTTTGCTCTTGTTGCCCAGACTGGAGTACAATGGCACAATCTCAGCTCACTGCAACCTCCACCTCCTGGGTTCAAGCTATTCTCCTTCCTCAGACTCCCAAGTAGCTGGGATTACAGGCATGAGCCACCACACCAGCTAATTTTTTGTATTTTTAGTAGAGATGGGTTCTCCATATTGATCAAGCTGGTCTCGAACTCCCTGACCCCAGGCAATCCACCCGCCTTGGCCTCCCAAAGTGCTGGGATTACAGGCGTAAGCCACCGCGCCCAGCCAGCTGGAGTCATTATATGGATTCTGTCTTTACATCTTCCCTGCCCCAGTCCCAGTTCTGTCTTTACCTCTAAGGGCAGAGTTCTTATTCCCCTGGCCTTCCTTTCTCCCACTTTTTTTTTTACCTTTTCTCAACTTGTTTTATTCTCTGCCCCCTCCACCATCCCCACCTGCCTTGTTTCTATTTTAAGTTTGTTTTGAGGATTGCTTAACATACATATTACTTCCTCTTAAACTAACCATAGGCTTAACATTCCACATGCTCATTCTTCAACTTTACACTTATAGTAGAATCCAGTCAAATCCCACGGAGTGACAAGCATGCGGGCATTTTATGACAATGAGAGTGATGTCAGGCACAATGTGACCAATAAAACTATAAAACCCATGCCCAAAAGTGCTTTACCATGCGCGCTGCTGTCATAAAGTATTCAGTCTATTATTGGAGCTGTTGGCTCTTCCTTGAGAGATTGGAGAAGACTCTAAGAGTGGAACCTTTTTTTTATAGACCCCACAAGAGGTGCATTACGACAGTCCTGTCTTTGATCCCATAATACCAGCTTCCCGCCACAACTCAATCATGGCATTACCGCACCTTTCCCATTATTGTTCATTTAATTCCTCCAGTAAAGAATGAAGGAAAGGCCGTGCACAGTGGTGGCTCATGCCTGTAATCCCAGCACTTCGGGAGGCCAAGGTGGGAAGATCACCTGAGGTCAGGAGTTTGAGACCAGCCTGGTCAACATGGCAAATCCTTGTTTCTACTACAAATACAAAAATTAGCCAGGTGTGGTGGCATGTGCCCTGTAGTCCCAGCTACTTGGGAAAACTGAGGCAGGAAAATCACTTGCACCTGGTAGGTAGAGCATGCAGTGAGCCTGAAATCGCGCCACTGCACTCCAGCCTGGGCAACAAAGCAAGTCTCCGTCTCAGAAAAAAAAAAAAAAAAAAAAAGAACAAAAGAAAACATTTTTATCAACGCATATATGTTCAGGAACCAACTATGCAGGCTGCAGGTGCCCTATGACTAGAGCGGCTTATTTTCTCTCCTGCTGGCATCCAATCCTTCAAGGGACTATGTATTAGATCATCCCTAGAAAGGGAAGGAAAACAGGTAACATGCAAATTACCTGATTTATCTCATTGGGAATTTTTGGGGAAGTAGGTAGCTTTTGGCTATTCCTGTTCCCATTCTTTCTTACAACCTCAGGTAAATAAAAGTTGACCATGACTTAAAGCAACACAATATGTTTTAAATCTTAGAAACCAAGCCCTAATATCTGTCAAAATCAATTTTTCTTAGCACAACCATTTTGGAGGGAAACTTGACAGTATTTATCAAAAGTCCATGTATGTCTTTCTTTTTCTTTTTTTTTTTTTTTTTTTTTTTTTTTTTTGAGGCAGGGTCTCCCTCTGTCACTCAGGCTGGAGTGCAGTGATGAGATCTCAGCTCACTGCAACCTCTGCCTCCCGGGTTCAAGCGATTCTCATGCCTCAGCCTCTTGAGCAGTTGGGGGTACAGGCACGCGCCACCAAGCCTGGCTTATATTTACATTTTTAGTAGAGATGGGGTTTCACCAAACTCCTGAGTTTGAGTTTCATCTTGAACTCCTGACCTCAGATCATCCACCAGCCTTGGCCTCCCAAAGTGCCGGCATGAGCTTCCACTGCACATGCCCTTTGACTCAGTTGTTCTCTTAACATTGATTTACCCAGGGCCATGGTGATTTTGTTCAAGTTAGAATAAAGTATCCCCTCATGAAGAGATTTTATGTCTATCTGACAGAAAATAATCATAATAGGGATTTAAATTTATGACGTCTACAAACTGAACGACGCCCTCATAGAAAAGGCACTTTATGCAGTGTACGAAGGCCCAGTGACCTTATGAATACATATGAAAGATGATACTGAGTTATATGTAAAAGGGTATTTACTGTAACAGCAAAATAAATTGTCACAAATGGCCACCAGCAGGGAATAGTGTACATAAATAGAATACCTTTCCACAGTGGAATACTAGGAGCATTATAAAAAGAATATGGGAAGATCCACGTTGTATCTTCTGATAACGAAAACATGTTCAAAGTGTATTAAGTGAAAAGACAAAGGCATAAAAGAAAATAAATATATTATAATTCAATTTATGTGCATTTCAAAAAGAAACAGATTGGTACATAGCCCTTTTTTTCTGAAAAGACACTTAGGAAATTATTAATAGGAGCTTCCTAGGAAGAGAGTAATTGGGTGAAGAAGGAAGCTTTCAGTTCAAATGTTTACCTTTCTATAGTGTTTGAATTTTCTCACTGAAAGTATTTATTACTTCCCTTTTTTTTTTTTTAAGACAGAGTTTCACTCTTGTTCCCCCGATTGAAGTGCAATGGCACAATCTCGGCTCACTGCAACCTCTGCCTGCTGGGTTCATGCAATTCTCCTGCCTCAGCCTCCCGAGTAGCTGGAATTACAAGCATGCACCACCACACCCAGTTAATATTTGAATTATTACTAGAGACAGGGTTCCATCATGTCAGCCAGGCTGATCTCGAACTCCTGACCTCAGGTGATCCACCCTCCTCAGCCTCCCAAAGTGCTGGGATTACAGGTGTGAGCCATCACGCCTGGCCTACTTTCAATTTTAAAAAACAACAGGGATTATTGGAAAAAAAAGACTTTTCATTTTTTTCCTTTATAGCTTTTGGCATTAAAAAAAAAAAAAGTCTAAGACGTGTTTTTAAATTTTTGTACACATACCCCCAACAGAATGCATTAAAAAATAGACTGCAAGTGTTTTTTTAATATAGCAATGGGTCCAAGGAAGGGAGGGAGGCAGGAGGCAGGTGGTAAGGGTTGGGTGCTGACGCAGGAGACAGACCCTCTCTGCACCTCTGTTCTCTAGGGGCATTTCTACCTCACAATTCTTGCTTCTGAAAACAAACAGATACTACATTCATGTATCTATTGGACAGTTAATATATTTAATCATAGAAAAAGAGTATCATTAAGCTCACTTTCTTTTATTAATTCGGCCCTAATGGAATATAAATACAGTGCAGGCAGAACTGCCCATCACTTAAAAACCCAGGGGCTGTTAGAAACCTACTAATTGTGTACTTCCTCGATTCTACCATGCTAAGTAGGTGTAGAGGAATCAGACTGGCTGCTTTTCTCACTTTGATTTCAGTCCCCAGATAAAGGAGAATTCTAGCTTTCTGCTTGTTTCTGAAATGCGAGCCACCATTACAATAAAGTAAAGCTGAATTCATTATTATAAATTTTATGCTAAGAATACATTCTCTCAAATGAATTTCTTTTTCTTGAGACCAGGTCTCACTCTCTCAGGCTGGAGTGCAGTGGTGCAATCATGGCTCACTGGAGCCTTGACCTTCGAGGCTCAAGCGATTCTCCTACCTCAGCCTCCCTAGTAACTAGGACTACAGACATGCACCACCATTCCCAGTTATTTTCTTATTTTTTTGTAAAGACAGGGTCTTGCCATGTTGCCCAGGCTGATCTTGAACTCCAAGGACTTCAATCTTCCTGCCTCAGCTTCCTGAAGTGCTACAATTACAGGTGTAAGCCATTGCACCTGGCCTCAAATGAATATTTATTTGGACTACACATATATTATTATTCCACAAAAAGAGGGCAGAAGAAAAAGATTTTCTTTTCAATAACAGAAATTACATTTAATGTAATTAAGTAACATAGCAACCTCAAACCTAAGAAAAGAATGACATTTATATGTTTATTTTTAAGAAGTGCTTGTATTAAATGACTTTAAAAAAATTCCCTTCAGTAAAGGATGTCAGAGGAGAGCACTTCAACTTTTATAAATTTTGCAGAACATTTTTCTACTTTGGAGTTTTGCATTTTGAATCATGTATTTGTCCCAATGTAAAGGCATCAGACCTTGCGTTAATTACAACTTAAACACATTTTGATCCCAAGTTATACACATTCCATTCTTC